AGCTGGGTCCAGGCTTACCTGGGCTCAAGAGGCTTCTCCCGTCCTGGTGAGTACACTAGGAGGGGATCTCTGGGGAATAAGGTGGGCCTATGTTTTGCCTGCCTGCTGGCTGCCTGGCAGCAAGCTCTGGGATCTTGCTGGTGTGGAATTGCTGCCTAGGTACCTCCATGTTGAGACCACTATGATTGGAGGTGAGGAATCAATCCTGATGGACTCCCAACGACAGAGTAACCTTTCCTTGAAGGTGAGCGAGGGTACTGAGACCTGGTGGCTTGGGAGAGACCGAAAGATATATGTGGGTCAGACTGATACACCAGCCAGCTTTTGAGTCCTGTGTAGAATTTTATCAATAAACAATGTTGACCACAACACACCAGTCCATGCAAGAGCTATGGATGTGCTAGATCCTAGTACTTGATAGAAAGACGGATCAGAGGACAGGTCACAAAAGGGAGGGCCATGACACTAAAAAGTACACAAGAGAACCAAGACCGTGGGTGGATTCTGTAAGGGATGTGTGTCCCAAAATCTGTGGAAATACTACTCCCTCTGGTTAACTCAAGAGTTGGGGTGGTGATGGACTAAGCTACATGTGACCATGGAACCCGCTATCACTCACGAGTAAAGGAACCAACAAGTTTAGGCAAATCAAGTCATAAGCACCCAAATCGCCATCCTAAAACAGGGTGTGGGGTGGGCCGGGCTGCAACGTTCACCAGCTCATGCAAGGCCAAAATGGAAGGACTATACTGGGCACTGGCCTAACACCCACTGGCATATATGAGATATGAGTCTGGGGAACTTGGGAAACTGCCCTAGTGGGTGACTTCTCTCACTGATGATTACATGGTCCAGGTCTGGGGATCAGGTGAGCTGGGCAAAATAGCTCTGATGGCTGGCTAATGTGTAACCACATTATGGTTATGGAAGGGGGCTGACTGGGCAGGTCCAAGCAAATCTTAGCTCAGAACATAAACAAAAATCAGTGTGGAGCACAGGTCATGCCAAGCTAGGCTCTTACACCTACCTACTGGTCTGCATGAACAAGGGATGATATGCTACAGCACTGAAGGCAAAGGCCAAGACAGGTAAGGGGCTATGCCAAGCTGGGTCAGAGCAACCACTGGCATGCACACTATCTATGGCTAGATGGCTAGGAACAGGCCTGTTTGGGGAAATATAAGGACATCATGGCTGGGTTGGGGTTTCCACTGGTGAGGACGGGCACCAAGTGGGGGCTGTGCTCTGGTCTGAATATGGATGCAGCGTCCCTTGGCACAAGTGTGGACTGGGATTGGACACACTGAGATGGGCTAAACTTCAACACCATCTTGTGCTCTGGAGCACCAGGTAGATGCAGGATGGACTAGGCTAGGTTTTTGCACCTACTGAGCCATGTGTGAGCTGTGTCTGGGTATGGACAAGACTTGGCTGGGCTGAAACATCTAACAGTAAGAACTGGAATGGGTTGAAGGCTAGTCAGGAAAGGACACTGTTCCTGCCAGGACAGGAGGTAGACTAAGTAGGGCTGGCCCACAGATCTACCGATGGGTGCAAGATCTGGCACTGGGAGAGGTTCTAATGGAGGAGCTTGGGAAACTCCTCTGTTAGGACACAGTCCTTGCAGGTGAGCACAAGAACCACAACAGGGAGCATCACAGACCGGGCAAGGGAAAGGTATCCAATGGCATACATATGGCATAGGTCGGGGGCAGACCAGACTGAACCAGTTCACGTCACCCGCTGGTGAATATGAGTACCAGTACAGATTGTAGGTTAGGCAGGGTTCAATCGCAACACCTACCAGTACAAATTATGGCAAGGACTGAGTGCCTGCTGGGCTGGAATAGGCTGTAAGCCTCACAGGCATCAGCTGGAATTGGAGATGGGCCAGGCCGAGCTACAGCATCCACTGGCAAATGCTGAGGCGAAGGGGGGCCATGCTAGACTGGGCCAAAGTGCCCAAACAGCACACGTGAGAAACAGGGAGGGAGCGGGCATAGCCGGTAGGGGGAATGTGGAGGGCTCCCGTGCTGAACCTCCATTCCCACTGGGGAGCAGGAATTGGGATGGGAAACACCAGATGAGACAGGGCTACAACACCTGTGGGCTTCATGTGGACTAGATCAGGGAAAAGCTAGGCTCGGATGAATGTGCTTATTGGTGCAAGCATAAATCAGAGTGGGTGAGGATTGGTTGGGTTTTGCCATAGCATCAGCTGGCAAAGTCTGGCACTGGGGGGCTAATTCTGTCAAGTTAAATGGCAGAACCACCTGGAGAGTGCATGTTCCGGGAGTAGGAGTGGCCCAGTAAGGAAATAGTGGGCACCTCCCTCTTGGGCTACCATTCCCACCGGAGAGCATGAGAACCAGGACAGGGGCAGGGATGGCTAGACAGAACGGCACCTGCCAGCATGTGTGTGGGCCAGGTGGGGGACGATTGGGTTGAATTAAGCTTCATTGCTCATTGACATGTATGAAAGCTAAATGGGATGTGGGACAGACTGGACAAGTCTGCCATACATACTGGCAAGCATGAGAACCAGAGAAGAGGGCAGGTCTGGTGGGGGTTATTGCAGGTCACTTCAACTAGGCTGCAGCTCCCCCTGGTTTGTGTAAGGGTTGAGAGTGTGCTGCAACACCCATTGGTTCTTGCAGAAGACAGTGCTGGAAACAGAACTGACAGCAAATGCAAACACCAGTTTAGGAATAAGCTGATTGGAGTGACAGATTGTGCTGGAACCTGTACTGGCAAGCACACACAACAACCTCAGTTTCCTTGGGGATCCCTCCATCTGAACTGGTGATCACAGAACCCTAATCATGAAGAGAAGTGCAGGTTCCATGGTCTGACCATTGAGTGCAAGTATTAAAGCCAAGCCTCTTCAGAGGCTGGTTGAGTAGTGGACAGCATATCCAGGTGCACATGGAGCAGAGGACAGTCCATCAGAACCTGCAGAGGATACCTGACACCACAATAGAGGACGGAGGACAGAACAAATCAATCAAGTACCCCAGCCATGTGTTGGCAGTGAAAATTGGACAAACTAAGACTCTAAGCTGAACTGTGTCAGCCAGTGGAGTCTGGAGAGATTTCATGATGCTTGGAATGGCATGAATGGCAGCAATTTAGAACTGTTGAACTATCGAGACCACTTGAGCAGGACCTTTGGAACATGCCCCACATCAGGGACCTGGGATAGGTGGCGCTTCACCCTTTATCTCCCCTTCTACCCCGATACAGAAAAAACAAGATAATAATCTGGAAACAATGGTCTTACCCACTTTCCTGTAGGCCTTTATCCTTTGTGTCCTAATCAATGATGTAAAGATTATCCATAGAAAATAATTCATATATAACAGTAAACAAACTATGATAATTCAATATTTAGGTCTTAAAGAGTTGCAGTGAAATGCTCATATCCCACTAATCTTTTGTATTGAGTTCCAGAGTTGGATATACAAATCTGCTGCACCACTTCCATTGAGACACTAATTACTTAAATTATCCATGTTTTATGAAGAAATCTGTACTCTCTCCTAAAATTGCTTCTCTTTCAGCTTACTCTCAGTGTATGTATCCACCAATCCCCCAAATGTTAATACAGAAACCTGCTACCACCTTATTTTAACCACTATCCTCTACATAATTAATTCCCTAGTAAGTTTCCTTACATGTATTTTTATCCTCCCTGATTCACACAGGAGCGAAAATTATCTTTGAAAAGTGCAAATCTACTGTCAATACTTCTCTAGTTTTGTGCTAAGTATAAAATCCATAATCCTTAATATCGCTCAACATTTTCTCCTTTGTAGTTACTTTCCTACCACAATTAGGCCTTTTTTCTTTTTTTTCAGTTTGGCTAATTTCCTGGTTTTGGATATTCAAACACATTCTTCACCATGGATTCTCATCCTTCAAGTACCAACATTTTATCCTTTGTCCTCAATGAGTTAATTAGATTAATTAACTTAATTAGATTCTCATCCCTCTGCCCTCTATTATTGAATATAAAGTTTAGAGGATTCTTTTTAATTGTGCTATTATTTATTAGATTATCATTCTGCAGTTTGTCTCCCTTCAGTAAGCTGAAAATTAGTGAGGTCAGGTATCAGGTTTTTCCTCTCTACTATGTTCCAGTGACCAATATACTTATGTTTCTGAAATTCAATGAATGAGTCAATGAGTGAAAAAAATGGAATACTTTTTACCCAGATAATGGGTGCTCATCCTTCCATTCTGCTTTTTTAGGAAAGTCTTCTCTGAGCCTGGTCCCCTCCACTGAAATTTACATGAAACAACAAAACTGTGTGTCTTATTCCCTATTATATAATAATGGTATACAAAGTTCTGTCTGGCAAATACCTCAAAGTCAGTAACTTACCGACCAATCATTCATTTACAAAGCCACTAAACAATCCAATCAAAGTTTTTTCCCTCTTTATATTGTTTTTATTTTTCAAGTTTCTGAATAATGAAAATCAGAAAATCCACCAATGCATTACTCAGACACCTGCTTCTCTTTTTAAATTAATCAAATCACTTCTTTATAAAGATGCTTAAGGATGTTACACAAAATGAAGTCTCTCTGAATATTAATGTTAACTTTGAAAATATTCAATGCTTCATTATTTACTTAGAAGCACAGCTTAATATCTTCCCTGTAACACAGAGGAATTTGTAATTACTGGGTTCTATACTACTGATATCTATGAGCCATGTCTCATGAAAGCAATTATAAGACATTGTAAGACTTTTCAGGTAAGAGTTTTCTGACTTTACAAAGTGGTATTTTTTCACTGTTGTTTTGACAATGATCTCTCTTCTAAACACATGAGATTAATTAAAGACATTCCCCATTTTATTTTTCTAAGTTTAAGGAAATGAGCTTTGACAAAATTACAGTTAACAACTCAATTACATGGGTCAGGCAACTGGTGGGTGAAATAATCTATTATGTACCCTAACAAAAACAGCAGCCAACAAAACAGCCCTCTTACCTGTTAAAGTCTGCACTGCTCTCTCACTGGAAGGCAGTGGCTCCTTTCTGTGAGGACGACTGAGTGTAGTGTCCTGTGTGGAAAAGAGTCCAGGGCTTTCAGTTAATCTCTTCCGGCCACTGGAGTGAGGGTTTGAAACTCTGCAGCTGCCTATTGCACTTGTGAAAAGGTTTGTATGCTCATCACTGCTGGCTGGCTCAGAGTTGGGAGTAAAACCTCCAAGAGATAAACTTGGAGAACTTTCTGAACAGTCAATCTGCAAAGGTGTCTGCAATCCCAAGGCCAGGGAACTAGCTTCTGTAGGCTCTCGGTGGACCCACTGTTCTTCTCTGTTGATCAAGCTTTTAGAAGGAGAGAGATGAGGGCAGGACATATGACACCGATGCTTCTCTTTATGCTTGTATCGCTCTCCAACAGAGTCCTTTCCGAAGCGATAGCGCTTCAGTGACTCCAGGACGGATCGGGAAGAACCAGTGTCCATGGAAACCTGGGGTTGTTCAGATCGGTGTTCCCTGTGTTTGTGCCGATGTCTGTGTTTGTGCTCAACCATCCAACCATAAGCCATTTCGGGAGGAACACTGGGATATGTACTCATGGAAAGGAGGGGAGTCCTACTAGTTGTAAGGAAGGCCTCCTGTCGAAGTAGCTTATGTTTTTTCTTATGGTATTTGGTAGGATTCAGAAGTAAATGACCAGCATGCATATAAGAAGGGGGTGGAAGTGGAGTGGTGAAAGAAGGAGATGGAGGGGGTGGATAGAGAGTGGGAGGATACCTCCCATAGTAACCTAACCCTATAGGAGCAGCTGTGAGGGGTGAGGGAGAATAAGGCATGCCGTAAGAGGGATAGAAGCCAGTACTAGAAAGAGGAAAACTAAGGCTGTGCATGAAAGGCATCTCAGCCATTGCCTCCCTCATCTTTGGGGGCCTCCCCCTTTTCTTTTTTAGGTCAGGTTTTCTAATGTAGTGCAAAGGGTCCAAGGGAAATGAAGGATGTGTATAGAAACTATTAAAGTTGATTCGAAAGATAGTAGGCAAAAGGTCTCTGGGGATAAAATGATGACTCCGGTGGGTGATTCGAATTTCACTTAGACGACTTATTAGTTCCTCCAACTCTGCAATAAAGTCTGGATCCTGTCTATTTCGGAGTTGCGGGTATTTCTTTTTCCGTTTTCGTTTCTGTCGTTTTATCTTGTCGTAGCTTAGATAATCATGATTTCTGCGCTTACATTTGTGTTTATGTTTTTCTTTAAGACCACTTAAGACGGTAGAAGTTTCAGGGGGAATCAGAGAAACATGCTCAAAAGAATGCCTCCTCTTTTTCTGTCCACAAAATTTCTCTGCCCTGTCTGATGTGCTGTTATTATCTGTTCCGATCCCACTATCACTGGGAATGGTCTCATCACTATGAGACTCACTAATTGGGGAAGGAGTAGCTTCTTTCAGAGATGTGAGTTCACTCAAGTGAGAAGGAGAATTTGGCAACAAAGTAGGAGGAGATAATCGCCTCCTGCCCTTTGAGGCCTTCTTCATTGCAAGAGTCTGAATCATACTGCCCTGTCTGGAGTGTAAATGCAAATATGGCACTGAACTGGGTTCAACAAAGCCAGCATCACTGCTGACAGGGCTCTGACCCCCACTAGTCCCAGAAGACTGAGAGCAAACAGGTGATGGGAGAATCTCGGAACTACTAGCAGAGGAAGGCAGCAAAGGAGGCAGAATCTGTCCTAATGCTGACCCAGCTGCCTGTTGTGCTGTTTGCTCAAGTACAGCAAGGCTAGTAGGGCTACCAGAAAGAATACCATTTAAGACAGTTTTTGGTTTGCGACCCCTCCTCTTTCCTATGTAAATGGTTCCTTTCTTACTGACATTTATTTGTTGGCCCAATTTAGAGCCAAATGTGGCAGCAAGACTCGATACTGTATTATGGAGCTTGGATTGCACTTTCCCTTTATTACTTGGTTCTACTGAAGTAGAAAGAATCTGATTTAACAGTTTCTTTCTCTTTAAAGTCTTCATTTTATTTATTTTGCGAATAATTGTTTTCATTAATTGTCCATTGTTTCTCTTGGTAATTTTCTTATCTGGTTCCATTTCAAGGTCACTCATGCTGCAAACACTTGGCCTGTGACTGTCATCTAAGTCATCTGGATCCTGAAGTTGATCTTCACTCTCAAAGAAATCACTGCTGCTTCTCTGGTTGTCACTTTCTGACTCCAACTTGCTTGGACTGTCAGTGGCAACAAATGGAGCCACAGACAGCACAGGTGGTTTCATCTTGACTGGAGATCTCATTTGCCTCTTAGGCCTGCCTCTCTTTTTTGGAAAAGGAGACACAGACAAACTTGGTTTGAAAGAAGGGATTTCAATTTCTGGCTGTAAAATGGGGGGTTCTTGTTCTTCTTTAGACTGCAAAGAAAAAACTTTAGAGGCAGGAATTTTTAAAGTCCGTTTAGGTGGACCTTCTAGCTGAGGCATTTCTTTAGATTTAGGCCTTCCTCTTTTGGGCTTATAAATATCAGACAAAAGGTCACTGGACACACACATACTAGAGGATAGTTTATGAGTAGCAAAAGATTTATGAGACGGTTTTTCACTATCAGTTAACAGAGCAAGAGACGGAGCTGTGGATTTGCTCAACTTTGGCAATCGACGTTTAAGAAAGTCATGATCTACAAATGATGATGATCCAATGTTTTTCATAAACTTGGCTGGCTCAGAACTATTTGATAGTGAGCCACAGGAAACATTTTTAAAAAGCTCTGATCGCTCCAACTCTAGCCCTTTTGGAGACCGGCATGTGCTTCTTGCAACCACTTTAGTCCACCGAGGTTTTCGTCCTTTTCTTTTTTTTAATGGTTTGGACTGTAAACTAGCACTTAGACTCTCAGCAACTTGGCAGTGTTTGTCTGATGCAGTTACTGCACCAAGTTTTAGAAAAGGTTTGTTACTAAATAAACTAGTGAAGTTAACAACTGAGGGAGTAATGCTATGAATACTGGATTCAGAAGTCAAATTTGGCTTTTTTCCAAGGGAAGAGCTTATTCTTGGAATATCTATATGTGTAGTTTTTGAATCATTTAGCTCTTTATCAATCCCTTTACATTCAATACTTATGCTATGACCCATTGACCTATGACCAACATTCAAATGAGCACTTTCAGAAGTAAACTGACTCTTAACAGATTCAGAAATTTCTTCCATTAATTCTGTAGTAGGACTTAGACGTAATGGATTAGGAGCCAATTGTGAAGACGTTTCAGATGGATTTTTAGTTAAAGGATTAACAGATACAGTAGGTGATGGGGAAGGCAGATTGCTTTCTCCTACTGCACTAAACGGAGATTTAGCTGTAGTTATATCAGAACCACCTCCCAGTTGAAAGTCTGTAGAAGTGCAATATACAGGAGGTTGCTTTTCATGCTTTGAGGTGTCATAAGATCCCCTTTCACTGGATGAGAAACTGTCTTGCTGAATACACGTTCCTTCATTAAATATTTCTTTCTCCAAATTAATGATTTCTTTTCGAACTGAGAACTTTTCCAGGACACTTTCTTTACTCTGCCGCATGACATTCTTCTCAAAATTTTTGCTGGTGGCACTGTCTTTCAAGGACTCAGAAAGTTCTTGACTTTCATGATTACTGATGTTTGTACTACAAGAAGCCTTAAGTGGATCCTGAGTGGAGAGCAGTGCTTCAGCTTTAAGATTTATGGAATCTTTACTGACCAATCCTGCCACAGGACAGGTCACTAGCTTCTTTCCAATGTCTTTATTAACCAATCCCATTGATGAATTTGCTACAATCTTTTTTGCACAGTCTTTGGCCACTAGGCCAACAGTAGAACTCAATTTCCTTCCCAAGTCCTTATTAACCAGTCCAACCACTGTGCCAATTCCTAACTTCTTGCCAGACTCCTTATTCATTAAACCTGGCACAATACCAATTCCTAGCTTCTTTCCTGAATCCTTGCTTAGCAGTCCTACTGTAGTGATAGTACCTGGCTTTTTGCCTAAGTCTTTATTAATGAATACAGCTGTAGTGCCAGTGCCCAATTTTTTCACAGAGTCTTTACTGACCAGTCCTACTGCTGGATTAAACATTGGCTTTTTCCCAGGATCTTTAGTTACCAATCCAACTGCTGTGCTAATAGTTGGTTTTTTTATTAAGTCCTTGTGTATTATTCCAGCTACAGAGCCAATGCCTGCTTTCCTGATTAAATCCTTGCTAACCAATCCTGCTGTAGTGCCTGTTCCTAACTTCTTCGGTTTTGTCTTGGAAGACTTGGAGGGAGGACAAGTAGCAATGAGTTGTGCTAACTTTTCCGTTACACTAGTTCCTCCATTAAGTAATGCTCTGTCCTTTAAATCAGGATCCCGACTACCAACAAGAGTAGATGGTGACAAATTAACATAATCGGTCATTTCTGAGTGTACTGGAGAAAGCTTCTTGGACAAAGGATTGTTTTCTCCCTGCAAATGAAGACGGATGCTTTCTTCAGATTGACATTCAATGGCTGCAACATCCCCTGCTTTCTTGTACAACTTTGAAGGGTCCTAAAATTGGAATAAGAAAAAGGTTTCAGAGAGAGTAAATCTTACACAAATACGTTTAGTTTTACACTGCAATAAATTGATCTTCTATCAGATAGGCTACATAACAGAACCAAAAAAAAAAAAAAAAAAGCAAATGTGACTCTAATGTCAACGTTCAGCCCTGTTTATTACTGGATTTTCAGAAATATCCCCAAGATACATTTGACATTATCTTTTTTTTTTTTTTTAATATTTTTTATTGGAAAGGCAGATCAAATTTATGGAGGAGGAAACAGAAAGATCTTCCATCCACTGGAACACCCCAAGTAGCTGCAATGACCAGAGCTGAGCCAATCCAAAGCTAAGATCCAGGAGCTTCTTCCAGATCTCCCTTGCAGGGACAGGGTCCCCAGGCCTTGAGCCTCCTCTACTGCTTTCCCAGGATACAAGCAGCGAGCAACTAAAACATGAACCAACACCTATGTGGGATTTGCAAGATGAGTTAACCACTGAGCCAATGTACTAGGACCTTGACATTACCTTAAACAGCAAACTACTTTCATGACTAGTCAAATCCTCTTAAAAGAACCTGAATAAGCACTTATGTTCTTTCTTAATGAATAAAGAAAGTTAATATTGCGCCAGTGTGGTAGAGCAGTAAATAAAGCCATCAATTGCAATGCCAGCATCCCATAAGCAGCCAACTCACGTCCCAGATGATCTATTTCTGATCCAACTCCCTACAAATAGCCTGAGAAAAGTAACAAGAGATAACCAAATATCTGGGCCCCAGATATCCACCTGTAAGACCGAAATGAAGCTTCTTGCTTCCTGGGGTCAGGCTAGCCCAGCTCTGGTAATCCAGAAAGTGACCCAACAGATGATTCTCTCTCTCTCTTCCTTCTCTTTTTGCATAACTTTTACAAATACATAAATGCAGTAAAATTTTTTTTCTTCAGAAAAATTACAATAAAAAATTTCAAAATGCATTATGCCTACCAAATTCTGAATACTCACATTATATCTAATATTTACTACTTCACACAGTAGTCTGTTTTACCTTGGAGTACTAACTAAAAAATACAAACACATCTAGTGCTTGTCAGCAGAAAGGATAATTTTCTTAAGGTAAATTTCTAAATATGATGCCATCTATGTAAAATACCACTAGTATTTCAGGAATAAGGAAAGTTCACTATACTGTTCACTGAAGGAAAAACAGGAAAATACAAAGCAAGAGCATAACTATAACAAATATGATACATGAAATACTGATACAGGACTGACACATGGAAAAACAAAATAAAAAAGGAAAGATTAGAAACTCTCAACTAAAATCCAAGCAGAAGAGAAATGAAATGTATTCAAGATGTTACCATCTTTATATAGATGGGAATTTGGTTAGCAATTAGAGAAACTTCACAGGCATGCAACTATATTTTTTCAATCAGGAATTCCATTTCAAAGGTCCATCTTAAGATGGAATAACAAAAATACAATGATCATACTAGGCTAGGAATCAACATAACCACTAATCCATGCAAGAAAAGGGAAGATATTAACACAATGCTATGCAGTGATCTATATGATATACTACCATTCATTGCTGGTGGGAATAGGCTAATACAACCACTGTGGAAATCAATATGGAGAGTGCTTGGAGGTCTGCAAATAAATCTACCATATGACTCAGCTATCCTGGTTCCCAGGAATCTACCCAACAGAAATGAAATCTGCATATGAGAAGGGAATCTGGAATCCTATATTTATAGCAACACAATCAACAATAGCAAAGAAGCGGAAACAACCCAGATGTCCATCCAAAGAATGGCTAATTAAATTGTGGTACATCTATTCCATGGAATATTATTCAGCCATTAAAAAGAATGAAATCATATGATTTGCAACTGGATGGTCCCAACTACAGATAATTATGGTCAGTGAAATAAGTCAATCACAAAAAGAAATAACATATATTTTCTCTAATATAAGGAATCCATCATGAAAATTGGAATGTATAGTGGTGGTTAAATGAAGACTACCATATCCAGAAATGTAGACCCAATGCAACATGCATCTCTGCTTCCAAACAAATGATGGACTCCCAATGAAAGTGTTGGATATATGTAGACAATGGGATGATGGACTCACTTTGTCTGTACCAGCAATGTTAGGGCACACTTAGATAGCCGACTGATGGAATTGTAACTCCTTATGAAGAGAGTGACATTATGGGAAAAATCAATCAGGGGGGTGAACGGAAAATGGGAGGAGGGAAATACCAGACTATACAGCATCGTATGATAAATTAAAAAATAGAAATTAAAAATAAAACAGTATAACACAACCATCACCAAATAAAGACAATAATAATACTTTGGGAAAAGGATAGCCTCTCCCATACAAAGTAATACAAAAATTGGATATCAACATAAAGAAAAATGAAGTAGACCCTTATCTCTTAGTATATACAAAAAATGCCAAATGGGTTAAATATTTAACCACTGGGTCTGAAAGCATAAAATTACTGGAAAAGAGACCATGATACTGCTTCGAGCAATGACCTCAAGAACAAAGGCAATGAAAGCAGAAAGAAAAACAAAATTACATTAAAACAAAAACCTTCTGCAGAGTAAAGAAAGTAAATTACAGAGTAAAGAAAAAAAAACTTCAGAGTGGAAGGAAAATTTACAAAATATAACTTTAATAAGGGAAAATAAAAGTACCCAAGGAAATGAGTTCAATAGCAAGAATCCAAATAGTTCTATTTAAAAATCTAAAAGATACATGAATATATGTGTCTCAAAAGCAGGTTAAGGGCCAGAGTTGTGGTATAGCAAGTAAAGCCACTGCCTGTGACATCAACATCCTGTGTGGAGATAGGCTGCTGTCCTAGCAGCTCTACTTCTAAACCAGTTCCCTGCTAATGCACTTTGGAATGTTACAAAGATGGTCCAAGTGTTTGGGTCCCTGCCATTCACTTGGGAAATCTGGATGAAGAGCCTGGCTTTCTGCCTGGCCCGGTGCTGGCAACTGTGTAATAAAAATACTTTTTAAAAGCAAAAAAAGAACAACCATATGACCTAGCACTCACTCTCTATAATCAAAGGAATATATATTCAATTTTACAGATGAATAGGATGGTCGTTCCCAGAAGCTGGAAACTTAAGACAATAAAAGATAATGGGGGCCTGGCGTGGTGGCCTAGTGGCTAAAGTCCTTACCCTGAACACTCTGGGATCCCATATGGGCGCCGGTTCTAATCCGGGCAGCTCCAGTTCCCATCCAACTCCCTGCTTGTGGCCTGGAAAAGCAGGGGACCCTGCACCTGCGTGGGAGACCAGGAGGAAGTTCCTGTTTCCTGGCTTCGAATAGGCACAGCACCGGCTGTTGCACTCACTTGGGGAGTGAATCATGGGATGGAAGATCTTCCTCTCTGTCTCTCCTTCTCTTTGTGTATCTGACTTTGAAATAAATCTTTTTTTTTTTTAAAGAAGATAATGGGAAGATGATGGTCACAGAATATATGGCCACAGTTAGGTTGGGGCGGGGGGAACAACAGGGACATATATAACAAAGTACCTAAATGATTGCCAGAGTCTGGGGATGCAGGTGTGGAACTACAAATGACCACTAATGGTTATGGTATTTCTTTGCTGACTAATAAAAATCATCCAAAATTCAGTGAGGTAAGGGTTGCAACAATTCTTACAAAGTGGATGCAGTGGCTCAAGCACTGAGACCACCTTCTGCTACTTTTCTCAGGTCATGAGCATAGAGCTGAATTGGCAACGGATCAGCAGGGGACTGAGCTGGTACCCATGTTGGATGTCAGTGCTGCACGCAGTGACTCTACCTGCTATCCCATGATGCAAGCCCCCCACAACAGTTATTTAAACATGTATTCTTGAAAGCAAAGATGATAATAGAATCAAACTTATCCACAACAGCAAATGATAAAATGAATCTGACTGCAAGAAAAAACTTATATAGATTGGAAAACAGTAAACAAAGGCAAAACTAAGTTAAAGAAAATTCTTCTCAAATTGATATAGACAACAGGAAAGACATGGTGAAGGCTTTGAGAGTTTGGGCATCTTTAGCAGAGAATATTTCACAAGCTGTGTGCTCAGGAATCTCATGAAAAGAATATTTCACAAGTAGTGTGTTTAAAGAATACTTAGGGCACAGAACACAATTTACAGAACTACTGTATATAACCAGAAATATAGTTGACTATTTTCATCAATCTTAAAATATTAGTGAATGAAATCAACTTGCAAAGTGTTCTTAAATTGCAGAGGTGGCTAAACAGAGAATGACACACTCTGGCATTTGTGTGGGCTGGATAGTGGGGCTGGTTGGGTTGAACTAGCCTTTAATGTCCATTGACATGTGGGAGAGCTGAAAAGGACTGGGACAGACTGGACCAGTCTGCTGTACATACTGGCAAGCATGGGAACCAGGGTAGGGAGTAGACCTGGTGGAAGTTATTATGGGTTGCTCCAACTAGACTTCAGCTCCCACTGGTGTACATGAAGGACAAGCATGTGGTGCAAAGGTTTTGGGTGGGCTGCAACACCCATTGGTTTGTGTAGAAGACAGAGATGGAGACAGAACTGACCCAACAACTGCAACCACCAGTATATGCAGTATATGCAGAAGCTAATTGGGGTGACGGACTGTGCCGGACACTGTACTGGCAAGCACATACAAGAATCAGGTCTGGGGTCACTTCAGATGAGGTTTCTTTGGGGATCTCTCCAACTGAACCACTGGACTCAGAACCCCAAGCATGGAGAAAATTGCAGGTTCCATAATCTGACCATGGAGTGCATGTGACAGAGCTGGGCTTTCTCAGTGCCTTAGACTGAGTAGATATCCAGGTGCACATGGAGGACAGTACATGGAACATGCAGAGAACACCTAGTACCACAACAGAAGATGGAGGACAGTACAAATTGATCAATTACCCCAGCCAATATTAGCAGTATCTTGGCAAACGAAGACCATAAGATCAA